GGCTCGTCCATAAATATATTTATATAATTAAAGACTCCCAACATCAATCAAACCTCACTCTGTATATAATGATAAAAATAATAACCACATACCCATTTTAGACATGAACTTAAAAAAAATAACACCCAAAACAGCAGTATATTCCTGATTTAATGTGACTCTCCTGTCAAATGCCTTTAAACTAGCAACAGAGCCCGTGCTGTGAAACTCCTGGCATGTAGAGAGGCTGTCCCTCCACTTACAGGACCTAAACTGAGCAAAGATGGGACAATATTGCTAACTTCATCAGCCTCTAGCAGTGTTGACCACAGACACATCTCTCAGCACACAGGGCAGTGGAGGCTAATGACGACTGTCAGCAGACGGGGAACGGGACGGTGGGGGGCGCTGTGCTGGGGGCGGCGGTGATGCTGATTCAGCACGTGGTGCTTCTTTGGGCCGCACAGGAGAAGCACTGGCCGAACGGGACTGACTTCTGGAGCGGTTATGGGATTTGGGGCTATGGGAATGGGAGCGGCTACGAGAACGTGATGTGGAGCGCCCTCGGGAACGAGAACGGGATGAGCTATTTGAACGAGACCGAGTTCTGGATCTATAGGACAAGAGAAAATCAATCAGTCAATCTTCAAATTTTTAGGGTCAATACGATTTTTAATGTTTTTGAAAGACGTCTTTTATGCTCACCAACGATGCATTTATTTGATAAAAAATACAGTAAAAACTGTAATATTGTGAAATTTACAATTTAAACAATTAACAATATAAAACTATTTTAATATAGTTTAAAATGTATTCTTGTGATGTAAAGCTGAATTACTTTAGTCTCCAGTGTCACATGTTCCTTCATGATTTATTGCTCAAGAAACATTTCTTATTATCAATGTCGACACCAATTGTGCTGCATGATACATTTTTTTGTTTTTTTGTTTTGTTTTGATTAGTAGAAAGTTCAAAAGAACAGAATTTATATGTAGCATCATTTGTAACATTATAAATGTTTACTGTTACTTCTGATCAATTTAATGCATCCTTGGTGGAACTATTTAACAGTATTTTATATGCAAATATTTGTAGTAATAACACAATAATACAAACATTTATGAAAATTTTATTTGCATTTCTTTGTATATTATACTTACGTCTATATATTTATAGAAATAAAAGAGACATTTATGATTTTATATGCATTTACTTGTATATTATATACTTATGTCTATATATTTTATACACTATTATATATTACATTTATGTCATTAATAATACATGTAAAACTAATAAACGTTAAACATTAACAGACAGCTAAAAACAATAATAACTCACTTTTTCCTGGACGCCTCAACAAGTTTGATTTTCCTTCCATTGATCTCCTTCCCAGACAGCTTCTCCAGGGCATTTTTTAGATCACTATGAGAAGCAAACTCAACCACGCTGTAGAAAGATAAAAATATTACACAAAACAGCAAAAAAAAAGCAGTAGAGTAGCGATCCAGATTCATGCACAAACAGTTCTGCAGGGAGAGTAACAGGAAAGAAAATAGCCAGCTCACCCCTCATTAAGCTTTGGCCGATGGGCATCTGCAAAAGTAACCTCTCCAGCTTGTCTCATGAAATCCTTTAAATCCTACACACAGTACACCAGCATTTTGACTCAGCTAAGCAACTTAGACGATCGTGTTTACACATTTCATGAAGAATCAAAGTAACTGAACTATCAAAGTTGGGGTCCGAGAATCTCTCAGCTCATGCTCAAGCCTGGATCATGTTCAATATGCTCCATACAAACATTAAAATCAGGCTGAAGAAAATTTCGGCACATGCATATCAACAAAAAGGATAGGGTACGTGTAGGGATTAGTAATCAGACAGAAAAGAACTGCAGAAAGCGAAAACCAAGCCGACACCTTGGAATCACAACATGTTGTGGAGGAGTGAATCGGCCACATTTCTTATAAATCTCTATTCAAAGCTTTGTGAGGCCAACCCTGGCCTCTAAACATGGTGTAAACACAAAGACTTCAGTGTCTCATCAGCCAAAATGAATGAGCGCTGGAATGAAAAAGGGGTGGCGTATCAATCAAAAATACTTTTGGCTTGCAATGCTGTAACATTCCCGGACTCCCGTACTACAAGACTAGCAGAGGAAATATGTGGAGCAGCTCATTAAAAGGGCCCCACATTTGATATAATGTACATTTACATGGCAGATGCATTCTTACCAAAACACAAGTGTATACAGTCTAGTAGAGCACAGGGCTTCCCTCCATCGATCGTACCCTATTTGTGCCGTCCCCTCAAGGGCACTGAGCGTGAACAACGAGGAAGAGATTATAGACTAATACCTGGGAACGTACCCATCGGGCTGGGGCCATAACCTGGAGATTTTATCCTCAGGACCACCAGAGAGCAGGGTGGGTGAGTATACCGATCGAAGCCTCTCAAATTACCGAACCCCTCGATTGACTGCGTATGCTGTTTCTCTTTTTCTCTCGCTCTCTTTCTGCCCCTCTCTCTCTTGCGTTCACTCTCTCTGTCTCTCTCTCTCTCTTTCAGCTCGGCACCGTCACAAATTGCGCTTTGTAGCGGAAGCCGCTGCGTCTAGAGCGAGAGGGCATCACTCACAGAGAGCTCTCATGCGATCGGCGGAGGTCAACTAGGTGTGGGGCACAATGGGAGTGGCTTAAGCAGAGAGAGGGGCCCTGTAGGGGTTAACTCCACCATTAGCGATCTCTTCCATACGACACAACAGTCAGGCTGGCAAATAGAGGGGTGAACAATTGGTTAAAACAGAGGCAAAGTGACTTAACCTCACTGTTTCCTCTTCTCTAGCACTAATGGAGTATTTATTATATGACCTTGAATTTGAAGTTAATCTCAGAATGACAATTTTTGCCAATGTTTTACATTTAATTGGATAGTTAAAGCTATTAAATTAACATAATTCTATTAATATATGAAGGAAATCCTTATTTTTTTGTCAATTGCAGTGACTGGGAATATAACTGACTCACCAAAACTTGACAAGAAATCATTGAACACTCACCTGCCAGCTGACTCTCGACGACAAATTCTCCACAATGAGGCGATTCTCTGTACGCATTGGTGGAGGATTCCTGACAGGTGAAACACTTCCAGTTATTGACTTATTTCTAATGCAGAAAATAAGGCTAAACTGAACATACTATGTTTACACAACCCTACCTGTGCAAACATTATATAATCTATTGTTTAAAAGTTTTGGGGTCAGCAAGATTTTAAAAAGTTTCTTATGCTTGCCAAGAAAAAGCTGTAATATTGTGAAAAAATATTACAATTGTGAAAAATTGCTTTTAGTTTTAATATATTTTCAAATGTAATTTATTCATTATCACATGATCCTTCAGAAATCATTTTAATATGCTGATTTGGTGCTCAAGAAACATTTCTTATTGTCAATTCTTAAAACATTTGCACTACTTATTATTTTTGCGGAAACCCTGATACATTTTTTTAGGATCTTTTGATAAATAGAAAGTTAAAAAGAACAATTTATTTGAAATATACTTTTTTTTTTTTGTTTGTAACAATGTAAAGGTACTTACTGCCAGTTTTAATCCATTTAATACATCCTTGCTGACTACAGCTATTAAATACTTACCAAAAAAAGTATTAATTCATTATTCAATTATTAAAAAAATATTCAACAAAGATTGACCCCTACCTCCGGCTGTCCTGGGAGCCTCGAGCATACCGACCAGGAAAACGTCCTCCACTGCCACCACGGCCTCGGCCCCCACGCAGACGGACACGGGCATGTTCAATGGTCACCCTGCAATCAAAACATCCCTCATACACGTGTCTGCCTCTGCGAAGTCTCAATTCTCTCCAAGGCTTCATCTTTTCCTCTCCCTAAACATTCTTAGGGAGATTTTCCTTACCCTTGTTATTTTTGGCCTGCTCACTGAGGTAATTCAAGCTGTTTTGAAATAATATGAATTGAAAAAAAACAATATACAAATAGAAACCGATTAAAAATATACCTCTCATTGCAGAGCTCTTTCCCATCAAGCTCATAAACAGCATCTTCTGCATCTCTCGGATCATCAAATTCCTGCAAGAAACAATCAAAGATTTACATGTGAATATTATATACAGCAGAGATTTAGTGACGTGTTGCCATTCTTGATCTCTAGTTTATTTTTCCTAATTACTTTTTTACTTAATATTACTTATTCAGTATTCATAAAATTCCATTTTGTTCAAATTTGTTAACTGCTTAGTTTACTCTTGCAATTTTATAAAAATATTATATACACTAAAGTTCAAATGTTTGGGGTCAGTAAGATTGTTCTTTTAAACATTCTATTCATCAATATTCTCTGAAATAATTATGGTTTCTAAAAAATTGATGCTAGAAATGTTTCTTGAGCACCAAATCTTTATATTACAATGATTTCAGAAGGATCATGCGTCACTGAAGACTGAAGTAGTAGTGGCTGCTGAAAAATCAGCTTTGCCACAGGAATAGATTATGGTTTAACGTATATAAAAACATAGAAGTTATTTTAAATAGTAAAAATGTCAATATTACTGTTTATACTGTGTAAATGCAGCCTTCCAGTGATCCTAAAAGACTTCCCCCAAACGGTGCTTTATTTGGGGGATTTTTTTTAAATTATATTTATATATATATATATATATATATATATATATATATAAAGGGAGCTGTCTACCACCATAGGAGAAGGCTGTCAAGCAACGCTATGTAGGCAGCTCAGTAGGCTTTGTAACGCAGCCCATATGCTATATTATTATCCACCTTATTCTTCACGTAAAAATGTGCGCAGCCATTTGTAAATTTGATGGGTCTTGCTTCCGGTCTCATTTGCTTCCAGCTATTTTTAGCTGTACAGAACCGCTCGTTTTGCTCCTTGATACTGCAAATGGTGTGTCTTGCCATATTATTTTAGCGTATTATATTAACTATGAACACACTGGTTTGTAGTGCCAACAGTTTATTCCTATTTTGGGGAAAAGAAGCCTAGATGATACTTCAGCCCTCTTCGAATCACAACAGCCACAGTCGCACAGGCATCAGAAACACACATACACACACGCAGAGCACAGCACAGGTACTTCTTGACAAATAAAAAGGCAAGCATGTATTTGAATACAGTACAGTGTAAATCAGTTCAACCCTGCGTCTCGCACAAGGAGATGGTGGAGATGGTGCTATGCATCATGCTTTGATCGTGCCGTGCTCCTGTGTGTACGCGCGTAGAACGAAACAGAAAAACGAAATTGCACAGAACATGCAGCATCAAAGAGAAAATGCCTGGCTTAGCAAATTCTCACTGAACTCTCCCCTTCGCAAGAGGTCACAGTAATTGACGGAGCAGAGGTCCACAGCGTAATCTGAATGCATTCATTTGTAATTAGTGAATCCTCGCCGTGACGAGGTAAGCCTGTGAGTGCAACTGATTATTAGCGCATCTGCAAGAAAAGGTGCGACGTGTTAAAACTCGAGCATTTGCGCATCCCTTTGAGGGGTCATCCGGTTAAAGGTTCTTCCTGTGAAGAGAGCCGCTAGACTCCTCGGGGGCCACGCAGCTTGTAGACCCCAGGGGCGGGCGATTTGTTGGCAGAGGGACAGCTGTCGGATCTTATTTACTGCTGCGTTCTGACAGGTGGCTGTGGGGTACGTGTTTGGTGAGAAGCTTTAGGGGTTACAGTCCTGGCCAGCGATGACAGAGAGGGGTGACTGCACACAGACTCAGGCTTCCTTAAGCAATGGAATATCTGGAGAAAAGACATGAAGAAAGTATGATGTTAGGCACAGAAATTAGTATTTTAACATTATTCTTCCACCAAACAATGTAGTTTCTCAGAAACTGTTGTGGTTGCAACAAAGTGGTTGCCGAGCAACACACAGACGTAAACAAAGGTGTATGTTTGTAGAGTAATTTACAACAGTTTTGATCAGAATCAAGGACCGGAACTATCTGTTTAATAAACTTAAACAGACACTTGAACTTGTTAAAGGTCCCATATTTTACACCTTTCTGGAGTTTTATTTTAGGTTTTGATGTCCTTAAGAATATATATTTGCGATATAAGTACTAAAAACCATCTCAATATATTTTTACAGCTCCTCTCTCAGGAGCTCTGCTGAGAACGGGTTGATTTTGGTCTGTCTAATTAATATTCATGAGCCTCTCTTCTGATTGGCCTGTTGTTTTCTGAGTGACGCACGGCCAGGCCAACCACAGGTAACTTGCTGAAATTGAAATGTATATACATCTTCAACATGACTAGATATACACGGTGAGTTTGTCTTTACCATTCACGTTAGATGTGATCCACCTCATAGTAACAATCCTGTCAGATCGTCCATCCTTTGAGTGAGAGTGTAACGTTACAGGTCGGCCGATCTGGTTTTGTGGTTAAAGTTAACCTTTTCGACATGTTTCCCTGTTGTCGTTGCTCAGCAATGGCATGGACGTGATGTTGTCAGGGGGATTGGCAAAAGGAGAGTGGGACGGTAGGCGGCACTCGGGGTGGTGACTGTGTAGTTCTGACGTCAACCTTTTACGGAAGTCACAACGGTTCGTGAAAAATCACAGCTACTTTAAGCAGGCTGTGTGAATTTGACTGTGGACTGACTGTTTTGAAACTTATATGGTAGTTACATAGCACCTAGACCTCAGTTATCATGAAAAAAGCCAGGAAATTTCAGTTTTGACAATATGGGACCTTTAAGTTTTTATTTTTTTTTGTAATTTTATGACAAGGTCAGGTTAGCTAAGATTGTAAAATATCATGTGGTGGGACAGCCCCAAAACAATGCTTTAATAATATTATTAATTTGTAATATCTGTAAAAAATTGGTAAAAAAGTGTAAAAATCATAATATTAAAATTTAAACAGAATTATATGTAATTAATTAAATATAACCCTTAGATATAATATGCATTTGCCACGTTTCGATATTATAATTTTTTTTTAAAGATTAATTTATTTATCATAGACACTTAATGTTATATGTCATTAAACCACACATCACCTCTAGATTTGCAAGTGAACTCACCATCGCCATAGTCTTCAGCAGAGGTGACTGAAAGCAAGCTATGCTGATCGCTGCTCTCGCTGCTCTGCCTGCGGTGGAGAGGCGCAGCGGCACCAGGCTGCTCAGCAGCCCAAGAGGGAGAGGATGAGGAGGATGGAGAGGAGGAAGAGGGCACCTGGTGAACCAATACAGTCTCTGCGTGACACAAGGACGCAGCCGTCGAGGTGGAGGGAAAACTGTAACTCGCCTGAGCTTCGTTCAAACCCTCGGCCTGAGGGCCCTCCGAAAGCACGATCTGAACCCGAGACTCAGGAGGGGGCACAGAACTGCCGCCTGCGCCATACACTGCCTCTTCGTAGGAGGGCAGCGAGACCTGAATGCCCTCCACCATGATGGAGGTAGGCTGTCCTGACACACCCTGCTCCCGGCTGCTTTGAATCAGAGAAGGAGAGATATAGGAATAAAAATAAGGCTTTCAAATCCTGACCTGCGGCTTACATCACAGTGAGCTGATTACACAACAGCAAAATACTGGAACAACAGCGCCGTAGGGGAGATGCGCTGTTTATACTAACATTAGTACAGTACATTTATGTTCTCAAAGGATTTGCATGCAGTGGTGCCAAAAGTATTTGGACCCTTATGCCACATTTAAAAATGTATTTACAATGTCTTTGCATTGTACAATAAAATACTAAACAGAGTTCCATTTTCAAGCACAATGTTTAAAATGATAAAAATATATTGTTTAAAATAGTTCAAAAATAAGTATTTGGACACTTTCTGGTTGCCATCTTTTAGTAGAACATAGTAATACTTCATATATACATTACTATTCAAAGGTTTTTAAGAAATGAGCACTTTCAATTGATCTAAATTGTCATTTTTAAATATTACCAAATATTTCTATTTCGAATAAAGGCTCAAAGAATCCTGAGAAAATGTATCATGGTTTCCAAAAAATATTAATCACCACAACTATTTTCAACATTGATAATAGTAAGAAATGTTACATGAGCAACAAATCACAGTATTTCACAATATTACCATTACTGTTGCTGCATTTTGATAAAATAAATGCAGCGTCGGTGAACATACGATACTTAATTTAAAAAACAAATGTACCGACCCCAACAATAGTATAAATTATGACAAACATCAGGCATTAAATTCCTAAATTTCCCTTAAATATATTTGGGCCACTATTATTGTTTATTTTCTCCTGAAGCCTTCTTATAACATCAAAATAGTCACAGGTTAGGTTTTCATCAGCATTTCCATCCTCTCACTTATCTTTGGAATTAAATAGTCCTTTTTTGCTGCTGTTCCTTTAAGAACTATGTAAACTCCCTCTTTGTGAGAATAAAGCAAATGTCTTTGAAGAAGCTATGCTCAGTAAAAATGAGACCGGGCCTCACCGGCTGTGGTGGAAGGACTTGAGTTTGGGCTGAAGCAAAACAAACAGCACCACCAGCAGCAGGATGAGGGCCACAGAGCTGGCAGTGGAAGCTACAATAGACAGAGCCGGCATGGGCAGCTGGGACTGCTGCTCCTCCCCTGGAAGAGAAACACTTTGTTTGATTCACTGCCATGTGTAAAGCCAAAGAACAAAAAGGTTTGTGGAGATATAAAACTAGGTATAGTTGAAAAAGCCAACTTAAACCAGCCTAAGGCGATTAGCTGGACTACCAGCCTGGCCAAACTATTTAAACCTGGCATTTTTTATGGTTTTAGAGGGGTAATTTTAGCAGGTCATGCTGGGAAACCAGCTGGCCAAAGAGCTAAAAAAAACACACTAAACAACCTTGGCCTGGTTTAGTTCTTTTTAGTAGGGATAACTTCAATAAACTAATAAAAATATATCCAAACATTCAAATTTAAACAATAAAGAGTACTCAAGTTTCCTTAATTTTTTAACTCGCATCCAGTCACTGAGTAACCAAAACACTCAAATATGATTGCCTAACAAAAAACAAAAAAAAACATGATGGTTGATGCTTAAAATGCTGCTTTCTGGGAACTACATCTTCTGACTCACTTGAACAGTTTGTACATACCTACATTACAGTAATTTACCATGTGAACAATGATTCTCTGTTCTTAAAGTGCCCCTATTATGCCATTTCCAATATTGCCCTTTCATGCAGTGTGTAATGTAGCTGTATGTGAATGTAAACGATCTGCAAAGTTGTAAAGCTGAAAGTGCACGACAAATAAAGTTACTGTCTCCCAAAATAAAGAATGGACTCTGAACAGCTGAAACGAGTCGTTAGTAATTCGAATCCTACTTCGGTGACTGCTACACGTCACGGGGTAACACATTTGCATAATGCGCCCTATGTTCTACGTTGGCCAGCCGCGAACATCTTGACCCCGCCCATAAACATGGCATTCTACTGACGACTGCTTCTCTAATCTCAGGGAGTTCAACGCAGATTCACAAAACGCTTGCTGTTGAAAGATGGATCAGTATCCTGTTTATTTGGACCAGCTGCTCCACTGAATCACAACCTGTAAGTATGATAAATAATAGATGTTTATATTTTCTATAGAGGACTAGGCCATCTGACCAATCAGAGCAGAGCAGGCTCACGGAAAGGAGGGGTTTAGAGAGACTGAATCTTTGAACTGCTTCGAACGAATCGTTTGAGAATCGCTGGAAAATGAGATGATATTAAATGTATATTTTGAGAAAACGAAAGCGTTTTTTGACCTTGCATGCATGCAATCCTATTGTAGGAGACTCCCAAAACAATATTAGAAATCATAAAAATGGCATAATAGGGGCGCTTTAAAGTCTGTTAATAAGAAGGAAAACTATCCATATGTGACAAGACGGCAGAATATCCCAATTGCTGAGCTTGTGGACCAAGCTCCTGCTGCTGTGTGACATACCTTGCACAGGGTGACAGCTGATCTGCATGGGCGACTTCCACTCTCCATTGTCACAGGTTCGGAATTGATATCCTCCTTTCAAAATGTAACCCTCATCACAGAAATACTCAATAACAGTACCCTGGGTCAGTCTGTGGCACGGCGAGGGGTGGCAGTTATATCCTCCGTTCTCCGGCTCACTGGGTGGTTGACAACCTGTTGGGAAATAAACTTTTGAGTCAGTCAGGGTTTCTGCAGGATTTTTAAGCTCAAATTTAAGACTTTTTAAGACCTGCCCAAATAAAATTAATACCATATGAGCGGGGTAGGGCAATGTAGTACCATATTAAACTGTAAAATTACTGTAAAAAGCATAATTTACAGTTCAGATACAAGTTTTCACCAAAAACAAAGTTTTATAAAATGATAAACTTTACATTTCAGCCTTTAAACCATTGTTCAGAAAATGGATGAGTCAAAAGTATTAATTATTATATTAATTTAAACAATTATTATCAATAAATTATTATATAAATTAAATAACATAAATTAGAGGTGTGCGATATTGACAAAAAATGATATCTCGATAATATTCTGGGATTTTATCGATAACGATAATTAGACGATATTTTGCTGAGTGTGTTATTGTGCTGATATCTTAAGGACTACCGTGGACAGCTGACTCCTGAATTTTTTGATATTCTTCATATTCTGTGTGGTCAGTTCACAGCAGTAATAGAAATTAATAATTTCCAACAAGGGCATTTTTACCTTTAAGCCATTTTTTCTAAAAGTGTGCACCATCTTTTGAGTCAAATTCTTTAATTTGGGTTGTTACCAAGCAAATTAAATCAGTATCAACAAAATGTATCTTTGTAATGCAGAGGAAACACAGAAGCTGCATTAGAAGTGGCATTTAGATGCATTTATACACTGTTTAATGCATCTCTGAGGGACATGGAATACTTTAACCTGCAATTACAAATGCATAAATAATGTTTTGATATTTAAACATAAAACATTGAAAACTGATGTTTGAAATTATTTAAAAAGGTACCTTAAATGTGAAATTAAAACCACCAGTAGGTGGCAGCTTGTCACTGTTAAGTTTGCGATTGCGATTGAACCGAATCATTTAAAGGGGTGATTCAATCAGAAACAAAACAGTGTCCTGTTGCTCAGAGACGGAAAACAGCACTGTGGCTGTGTTTGAAATTATTTTTGTTGGAGAAATAGGTGTGAAATATGGTGTCTAAAACATAAGTCTCTTAATATTAACTACTTGTTTATTGAACTGTTGTATAAAATCATTATCACATTTGTAATCATGCTTACTTTTGGAGGGAAAAAAAACGGCACTCTTCGTGTGATATTAACTATATGAACTGATATAAAGATATAAATTTTCTGCCCCATATCTTAAATTATGTGACAATTCTTAATGCATTTTAATAGACTGATTCATGCAGTGAAAGAACGCACTCTAAATGTGCACTAGTCTAACCTGCTAGACTTCATCACCTAATGTATGCGTGTACTCTGTAGGAGTGTTTTGTGTTTGCTTTTCACGATATACTCATAATATCAAATCGCACATTGTTAAAACAATTATGATATTATCGCAAACCATACATATTGCACACACCTATGTTTAGATTTTTATAATGCATTGTCCTCTTATCGATCCACCAGTTCACATTTAAAGCTCTGCGTGTTTGCAGGGTAAAAACGGTGGAGCAGTTGGTAGAAATATAACTGTTTCCCCGATAACGGCAGAACACAAAGCAGCGCAGCACCGGACTTTTAATGTGAAGCGCTCGTGTTTATTCAATGAAATCATAACGTTAGCCTTTTGAAGTTTAATCGTCACATTGAGCCATATCGCAATTCTGGTCTTTCCGTCCCCAAATTTAAGACCTCTTGAAATCATAATTAAGACTTTCTTGTACAATTTAAGACTTTTTAAGGCCTTAAATTTGATACAACTAAATTTAAGACTTTTTAAGACCCCGCGGAAACTCTGGTCAGTGCGAGTAAAAGGAACCAGAGCTTTCACAGTGACGTTTGACGAAGAACTGTTTTTTCTACTCAGAAATGTAATCTTTCATCATGATGTTAACAGCGTTAGCTTTCTTAGAACAGAATACAACTGATGAGAAAACAGGAAGAGGACGTAGGGGTGTGCGATATATATCGTCTGCGATAATATCGTAATTCACACAATAGATCATGTGAAACACATAAACATGTTTATCACCTCATTACATTTATCCAGAAGAGAGAAAGAAAACAACTCAAACAAACAGGGTCTGTTTGGACAGACCCCCTCGATCACTGTGTTCTCTTAAGCATGCCAGCCGATTATGGACTCAGAGGATGGACATACAGCTCTATCTCTTCTGTTTTGACACCAGACAAACAGTCAGGATATGAACCACAGATGCAGAGCTTCACAATCCATTATATCAAACATGTGCAACATCTGTAAGCAGTTGATATTGTATGATAAAACGGAAATGTCTGATTCTGAGTGGATAAGCCATGAGATGACAATTAAGATGACAAAAAATTGCAAACCTCACCTACTTTGTTTTGCCTGTTTTGAGTCGATATGTGTGAGTGTATGTATGTGCGTTTACTGTATCTACATATGTTTTGAGATTGACTCAAAGGGTTAAAGGGAAACACAGCAGGGGTGTCGCATATCTGTGATGGGAAAAGCTGGCTGCGAGAGATAAAGCAAACCCACAGCTTCTCACGGCCGAGCAGGAAGTGATGTTAGGAAAGTGAGTTTCAGTGAAAGGGGTGTCATTCCTGCAGGGACAGAGGAGAGGAATGAGTTTCCACACTCACATATCTCATAACACAGAAAAAAAACCCCACAGCAGTAACAGATGAACTTGGCTGCTAGAGCAAAACGAGCCCTGACAAGACATCATCCAAGAGACTCTCCCTAGATAAAAGACTGATCCATTCGAAATGAATCCACCAAATCATTAATGATTATTGACTCAAAACACAAACATCGACCAAAATATTGATAACCATTTCTCAGGACCACCCTTTCGGCACTCTTAAACATTTAATTTTTGCATATTTTTTATTTACTGAGACACAGTAACATAGCCTGGAAATCAGGGGAAAAGAGAGTACAAGCAGCCAACAAATCAATACAAATTTATAATTATAATGATATAATTTATAATTAGGGATGCAATGAAATATAGCCAATATTTAAAAAAGCCTATAATTTTCATGGTAAGCAATAAATGGCTGACATTAAACTGTGATATTATTTTGTCTAAATAAATTACAAACAAAATCAATCATTTTAATGTAACGTAATGTAATGTATTTAGGCATCACATAGTGTGGTATAAAATTTTTATTTTGAGATTTATTAACGATTACATTTAACTGTTATTAAATTATGATATTTTTAAAGATTAACTTCAAATAAGCATTAGAAGACTGCAAAAAAAACTAAAACAATAAAAGAACAATTAAATATCCAATATCAACAAAATAAAAAATTACAAAAATACTAAAAATACTAAAATAAAATTACAAATAAATTTCAAATGTCTAATATCAAGCCATAACCAATACAGTTAAGTACTGATATATCTTGCTAAAATAAAAGATAATATTGATTACTGGCCATTAAAAAAAATGTAATGTAATAAAGTAAATACATCACAGCTATCAATATCACCCACAATTTCTAAAGCAATTCATCCCTAATATATTTAGTGTCTTTTTGTTTGGGAGCACCCATCATACCCTGAGAGCCGTTAGACACGGACAGCAGCGGGGCCTCAAATAAGGCCTGTCTTCTGCGAGACAGAACAAAAGCATTAACCGAAGCTCCACGTGTTCTTTATTACACCCTTTTACAGCCCGAGGTCGGCAGCTGACTAATTTAAGCAGCTCGTCCTCCTGAACCAAATCGATTGGGAGGGAAAACCGAGAGACACAATCTGACAGAAGACACAGAGGAAGACTCTATTGTTCTTCTAGCCTTTGTCACAGTGAAAAGTGGCAGATGGGTGTTTGCACCCTTCTGATTCTATTCGGACAGCTGTGAGGCACAAGTAACTCCTCTTCTGTGTACAAAAAGGGAAACAAGGAAGAGATAGAAAGCAAGAGGGGTCACCCAGTGCCCCTGCTGTGTCTGCTATCAGCGGATGGCTCTAGACACAGTGCTCTTGTGTTCGGGATCTGCTGCGTCTTGGCTCACCCACTCCAGGAATGCACTCGGCCCACAGCTAATGACAGACTGGAGCCTCTGTGGTGCACACAAGCAGTCGGAGCAAAAGCTGCTGCCGGTCAGCCGCCTGGATGCTTGGCCAGCAGCTGTACTCAGAGGTGCTGACATCCATTGTGCTGGCTATTGGCTACTAGGAACATGAGTGCGAAAAGAGCATCTGTTTAAACGGGACTAGGCGACTTAGGGTCAACGGTGAATGGCTATCAAACACGGTTCACACAGACAGATGGTGCAGTGAGTTGTTGTTTTGAAGCAAGTCTGAGAGTTTTTTGTTTTGTTTTTTTTGGCAACGCTAAGGAAAAAGGGTGGAGTGTTGTTTTCTCAGACGGATCTATGTAAATAGTTTCACTTTTTTAATCTCACGCCAGTGGCAGAATACAGTCACATCACGAGCCAAACCGCCAAGGAATCGGTTCTTCAACATGCAAAACACTAGTCGCAGCAATCTCATAGAAACGTCCTTAAAATGATTTACACTGGCCAAAATGTAATCAAAAAGTTCTGCACAGAAAACCCACCTCATGTTGCAATGCCTGATTCACAAATGAATCATTCAGACCAATTCTTTGAACCAGATCAACCAATTTACTAAAGAGATCCAACTAAATGATTTGCTCATGAATCAGACACCAGATGAGCAGTTTTTCACTGAAAAACAACTTAATTTGTGTCTGTTTCACATCTAGAGTTATCAGACTTTTATTGGATATTCACCTTATTTTTAATGTATGAACAGGTGGGGCCATTTGTAACTTAAATGTGCAAAGGCTTCCAGCATCAGCCACTTTCAGTTATTTTAGCTCTATAAAGACAGTCCTCTATGCTGGCAAACTGGTATTTGTTATCATATTTTAATCCATTATCATAATTCTAAACAGGTTTGTGGCGAAAACAGTTTTACTGTTAACTAGACTTGTTATGTACCTATAGCAGCTAATGAATCGAAAGTTTCACACATTCACAGGAAATCGCTTGCAGCATTGCAAAATAGGTGGATAACATAACACTTTTTTTTGCTGCTGCTTTTGTAACATATTTGAAGCTTGAAAGCTTTGTTCTTTGTAACTACATGGAAAAAGCCCTAGTGCAATCTTCAAAACTCTTTTTTCTGTTTTTCTACAGATGTAGACATACAGGTTTGAAATAAAGTAAATTAACATTTTACACAACTCGGCATTTACACAACTCGATTTACATGTCTACTGAAAAGAATCTATAACTAATCCTGATATGAGGAACAGTCTGTTAGTCACATATTTCCTCATACTTCCTCATAATGACTTGATGTGAATCAGGAACTCTGTCTCGCCTAGCTATACAAGGCAAGGTGTGGGTTTTGTATCAACTGAATCACCAAAAGAGCCAGTGACACTAGAGTTTCATCATTAAAGGCGACAAGATGAGAGTGGGTTTTTATAAGCCCCCGTGGGCCAAACTGCATGATTTCCCTGATGTGTAATGAATATAAGAAATATCGACTGCTAGTCACTAAGCTACAAACAAGTGAACATGTAAGTAAATAGATCAAAGATAAAAATAGAAAGTAAACCTTATTCACAATTTCATAGTCTCTTTCTACTCGTGATAAACCAGACATTAACCTTTGAACTCAATCGTGCCATCGTGTTTGACAAGGGTGTGGAGAGACACATAGGGTAAATACGAAACAAATCACTCCTTTCAAGAAGTGTAATAGAATCTTTCCATGTTGAAAACTAGCATAGCTGAAAACTAAAAGCTAAGCTAGCTGTATTATCAAACATGTCACAAATGGCACCAACAGCTCTTGTTAGTTTTTTCCAGAGTTACGCAAATAGGCTTAACTAGTCCACACTAGTGTACTATATGTCGGCCGTAAGAATGGCTTCGCAAACAGCCTTCTGAATTTTAAAATCACAAAAGCGACACAATTTACAAACACACACAACTGAAGGCCACAAAATTGCAAGTCCTCATCAAGCTTTTGAAACGCTGTAATTTTCCACAAAGAAAACAAATAGCATAAACCCTGTGATTCATATAATTCCTAGTTGCTTTCACGAACATTTAGCATAAGGAAAACAACCCAAATGCTTTGACACCCACACCAACATCCTCTAAAATATTTGATATAAAATTTAGGGACAGAGCAACATCTGCTAAACTTGTGCTATTAGCATTAGCAAGGCCTAGAAGGCACATTAGCAATTGTGCTATTTTGTTTACAAGATTAAAAATGAAGCCTAAATTCTTCAAGCAAAGATAAACAATAGTGGTTGCAGCCGTTGATGCAATCTATAGATGTCTGGTAGTCTGTAGGGCCTTAGCAGGTCATTTCCCACTCTGGGTTTTTAACCCAGAGAGACACTGGACAACATGTCACAGCAGAAAACTAAGTTAAAGAGCCTGAACAACTACCGTATGAAACCTTGAGGGGAAAAAACATAACGCTCAGTCTGAGTTAGAGAAGAGAAGCAGGCATGTACACATCTGTTTCACATGGATTTTCCAAAGAAGAATCAGGTCTGCGCCGTAACTTGTTTAAAGTTGCATTACAACGTAACAGAACCAAAACTTGAGGAATGTAAAGTTTATAATTTCAGTTCAGTTCAATTCACAGTTGGATGTGAATGTGCCTCAAACAAACATCACTTTTACTGGGAAATTTACCATCAGGTAATAATAAGTACAAGGGCTAATTTGCAAACATCTCTCAAACCCACACAAACCACTTCCTGAAGCAAAAGAATACTTCTATCTACACTACCGTTTAAAAGTTTGAGGTAAGCAAGATTTATTTTTTTTCTTTTGAAAGAAATTTATACTTTTATTCAACATGGAAGCATTTAATAGATAAAAAGAACAACAAGGCATTTATAACGTAAAAGATTTCTATTTCAAAAAAATGTTCTTTTGAACTTTCTATTCATCAAAGAATCCTTGAAAACATTATTTCCACAAAAATATTAAGCAGCACAACTGTTTTTAACAATGATAACAACTGTATTTTTATTGTATTTTGGATTTAATAAATGCAGCTTTGGTGACCTGAAGAGATTCTCAATTTTTTTTTTTATATTTTACTGACCCCAAACTTTTGAACAAGCCAAGTGATACATTTAATGGTTTTAACATGCACATGAAAGCACCTGAAAAGAATCAATCAATCATTAAACAATGTGTCCGAAAATTCAAATTATTTCTGCTTTTTTATAAGTGACGTGACATGTGGACAAGTATAGTGACCCATACTCGGAATTAGTGCTCTGCATTTAACCCACCCAAAGTGCACACACACAGCAGTGAACACACACACACACCGTGAACACACACCCGGAGCAGTGGGCAGCCATTTATGCAGCAGTTGGGGGTTCGGTGCCTTGCTCAAGGGCACCTCAGTCATGGTATTGAAGGTGGGAGAGAGCGCTGTACATTCACTCCCCCCACCTACAATCCCTGCTGGTACGAGACTCGAACTCGCAACCTTTGGGTTACGAGTCCAACTCTCTAACCATTAGGCCACGACTTCCCCCATTTTTGGTTATTCATGGATTCAAAAATATGGTTTGAATCCTGTCTTTGCTGAGGTGAGAATTAACACTAGATAACATATGGAAGCAGTATAGTGACAAATCAGAGTAAAAAGTGAGTAACATGGGAAATTCCTCTAGTTCACAATGTGCCTAGTGCTAAAAACAGAGCGACTTCAGCTGTGTGCCTTCAGGGAGCTGCTTTTCATTCCACATTCTGAAATAGTGTGGGCTGAGTCAAGCTCCAGAAACCCTAAGATCAGCTTCTGAGCACAGTAAGGTTTTTTTTTTTTTTTTGCCTTCCTGTGCTACTTCCTCTTGTTTGTTTTTGTTAACTATACATGTGAATGAAACGATGCAATAGCAAAGCTTTTTAAAAAGAATGGTTCCAAATAACATAATTTTATAAGTAAGATCAAATCTGGCCCCTCCTTGCATCTCCAAGCTTTGTGGATGCTTAAATGTTACACAATCACTATCTAGGTGCCTTGCCTTGTAATAAGTGCAGTGAATGTTTCAAGAAGTTCACTGTAAAGTTGCAATCCGCAAATTGCAGGTCCTGTCTTGACATTAACATTGATGACCTGCCAATCAAGATACTACATGGCCAAAAGTATGTGCAGACCCAAACACCACAAATTATAGGTATTAATGGAACATTGATGTAGGGATGCGCTCCCATTCAGATGCATTGATGTCTTTACTGGAATAGCAAAACCCATTAATCAAAGTGGGTGTTTACATTGTCGTGGCCATGCAGTATATGATTCTTTGTTTTGTGTCATTATCTTATGTAAAGCACCAACAAATTTATCAATAGATCTATGTCGTCATCATCACTGTCCACACATCTGATTCAGGTTCCTCTTTCAACACTCAGAAGCCTTCAATAAGTTTCCCTTAACAAGTTCTACAACAGTCCAGACCAAGCAGATCACAGGACTTCAAGTGATGGGTCGATTTCATGCATTTATGCCTACTAAAGCCCTGCCTATAGGGAACATTGAAACTGCAATCATTTTTCACCATTGCAAAGCAACACTTGTTCAACTAATGGTGTAAAATTGTGGCAGACCACCAGTTTGCCCCAAAAAAATGGAAGACGAGGGACTGTTTATTTTTAATTATTTTAATAGCCATTAGTCCCACAGAAATTACACACTTTACATTTAAGCACACTGAGGAGGAGATAGACAGAAAGAAAAAGGATGCTTGGGTGGACGCACAGAAAAAAAAACAGCCAAAATATGGCGCAGTATCATCGACAGACTTTCATCGGATGACCTTGAAAAATCATCCCTTCTGTCTGCTGCTCGGTCTGTGGGAGGACTAAACATGTAGCATTCAGCTGGTGTACTAGATTCATGCCAAACACGTGTGAGCAGCCATACATCCATGCATACACACACACACATTACTTGGGATCACTTGGGACACTTTTGTCCCTGGCTCGACTTTGTGGTGCTGAATCAATATGAGAATGTGGCCACTTGGGATCAATGGTCCAGCCCAATCCCACCATCCCTCAATCCCTCCATCTCTATCATTTATTATCCAAGCGCAATGCTCTCAGTGACTCATTACATAAGGCAAGAGACACTCATTTGTCTGTTGAGCTGCGTTCACGTGTTGTTAAGGGGAAATAGTGCAGATGCCATGTGGTTTTGGGAACGGAGAGTTAAGTGCTGTTCAGACTGGATTCGTTTTCCAAATGACGTTTGAGTTAAAATTATATATATAAAAAAAAAACAGCTTTGATTTCAAGTAACAGTTCGGATGGGATTGGGAGCATCCCCGTCCTCCATTTCATTTCATTATTTACTTTTGGCCATTTGACCATAGTCATAAGGGGCTTTCACACCGGAACTATTGGCAAAAATACCCGCTTTTTGTTCGTACCTCAGGAACTAGGAACTGTTTTAGTTCTAGGAACTCCATTTGGGGGAACCGTATTAGTCTCACATAGCCAGACCTTCAGACTTATGGCAGAAGGTCTGGGAACCTTTGGCCGCTT